ACAGTCTCAGTTCGTCAGGTAGCAGAATCGATAGTTCATAGACTGGTGACCTTTCAACATCAAATGAAGAGGATAAGAACAATTGTTTCAGCAGAGTTTGAAATCGTCTTGACATTATATCGATGGTGGTTTGCTCAAAGAGGTCGGTCGAAAAGTCAAATGAACATTTCATCGTTTTGTCATCAGCGGTATAGTTAATCACCAATGTCAAATCGAATTTAGAAACACTAATATCACTTCTGTTGCCGTCAAACCGACACAGAACCGTTTTGTCATCCATTATAACACTATAGTCTTCTGTAGAGCACGACTCAAAACGAAATGTTGTATGTATAAACGGTAACGTTGAAGTTGGATGTTGAAAATGTACTGTTTTTACAATTTCTTGAAATGGTAAGTTACAGAAGGCTAAAATGTCCAGATAAAACTGGTTTACTTGCTGCAATGCTAAAAGAAATGACTCTTGAGGGAAAACTTTAAATCGAAACGGAACGAGATTAACAAACATTCCAACTATAGATTTTAACTCGTTGAAGGCAGTCAAATATTTCGCATCACACATGCCGATCTTTCCACATTCGCTACATAGCTTTTTCCACTGATATTCATTGCGCCCATCTTAATCGAATTATCAATGCTACGTTGTCGGTGAATATATATAATCGCTTACAACAAACCAATTCGACGACCTATATATGGGCCACGCATCCCCTGTACATTCTAAACCATCCTACGAGTCTGACTGCTTCAGACGAGCACGTAATATTTGTCTGCCACAATGCCGAAACCGATTCGCATTTAGAGAAGATATACACAGATCTCTATTGCCGTTTGTTAATTTAAACAGAAACACAAAATAACATGTTAATAATAAACGAAATAATGACACGTTGCTACGCTCAGAACAGTTAAGCATTGACGTAATAAGGCTCGAGTCCAACTCAAACATTATCGATGAACCTCGACCTGTTCTCACGTTCGAGAATAATAGTTTATTATCATACGGGAGTTGCAACTGTCCCTCTTGTTCGTCGTAACCATCAAATAAATGTTGCCAATATTTTCTCGCATCGTCCATGGACATTTTTCGTTCGTATTGAGAATAATCAATATATTGCAAAGACAGATGTGTATCTAATTTATTTGTCAAATAAGCTTCCTTCAGATCCTTGAGGAATATTTCTGTTGAACTACCATCAAATGCAACATGATGAAAATTAAATATAATTAAATCACCATCATTCAATAAATCTACTGCTGTTCTACTGCTCTCTTCGTCGTTGTCGTTGGAAGAACAAGAACAAAAACGGATTAAATGACATCGAAACACACGCCCCATGGATAAATCGAATAGTTTTCCATTTGTTTCTTCATTCAACAATATTTCATCGAAGTCGTCTTTTGATGGTATCGAGCTCACTTGAAATGAATAAATCTCGTTGTTTGTCGGTTCAATATGTTGTCTTAAACATTGCTCGTCTCGGTCATAATTCAATGATGTTCTCAGTATCGAATGCTTTTCGATAACGAGTAAAAGTGATTGACGAAGGCGGCTGATTGACAAGGTTCCGCTCATCACTCGAAACACATTTGGAATATTGTAAATTGCCAAATCGTTTTTCGTGTCGAATCGAATTTGCTCGTCTAACCAGATACGTTCTTGGGCGTATGAACAGAATCCTATTGAACAATAATGAGAAAATATGCTCTACTAGCTGACATTCATCAAAGCGAACTCAAGTGAGAAACTCGAAGCAGATCATCTCAACAGAATGTTCCTAATTAACGACTTTTCTAATGTCCGACCTTAGTCGTGGCGAAAGCAAAACTTTATTATTGTCGATATAACGTATATAAAGTTGAAACTTCTTACTACTGACTGTGCGTCTTGTTATAACTGGATCTATGACCTGCATAACGTATGAGCCATAACTAGAGGAAAGCGGTGGAAACTCTGGTCTTCCGACCGATTCTACTCCTTGAAACTTACGCTTCTCATTCATAACATGAAAGTGATATACCTTTATTAATATTCAGTGATTTCCATTCTTCTTCTTCTTGTTCATCTTCTTTAACTTCATTATTTCTGTCATTTAACAATTGAATGTGTTCACGTAATGTTGCAAGTTTGAATAGCAGAGTTATATTCATTTGTTTGGTGTTCTGTGTTTGATATAAATAAAACAGTTTCATCATTAATAGTGAATTACCGCCCAATGCAAAGAAATTCGAATTCATTGATACTAGTTTCAAGTTTAATATTTCGCACCATATGTCGTGAATCTGACGTTCGAAGTCTGTTTGAGGACAGCCATTTATTTCGATTTGGCACTCGTTTTGTGTAAAATCTGGTTTTGGTAACTGTTTACGATCGATCTTTCCGTTTG